AGAGATGGCTGACGAAATCGCAGCCGTCGTCATCGACAATGGATCGGGTATGTGCAAAGCTGGCTTCGCCGGTGATGACTCACCTCGAGCCGTCTTCCCCTCAATCGTCGGTCGACTACGCCTGCAAGACATCACAGTCGGCATGGACAGCAAAGACAGCTACGTCGGCGATGAGGCCCAATCCAGGAGAGGCATCCTCTCCCTCAAATACCCCATCGAGCATGGCATCGTCACCAACTGGGATGACATGCAGAAGATCTGGCATCACACGTTCTACAATGAACTTCGCGTTTCTCCAGAGGATCGCCCAGTCCTACTGACTGAGGCCCCACTGAACCCCAAGGCCAACCGTGAGAAGATGACCACCATCATGTTTGAGACCTTCAACTGTACAGCCATGTACGTTGCTATTCAGGCGGTCCTCTCACTTTATGCATCCGGCCGCACCACCGGCATCGTTGTGGACTCGGGCGATGGCGTCAGCCACACTGTCCCCATCTGCGAGGGATATACCCTGCCGCACTCCATCCTCCGTCTTGATCTGGCTGGTCGTGATCTCACTGACTACCTCATGAAGATCCTCACAGAGCGTGGTTACAGTTCCATCGCCGCCGCCGAACGAGAAATCGTCCGTGATATCAAGGAGAAGCTTTGCTACGTGGCACTCGACTTCGAGAACGAGATGGCAACTGCGGCCTCAAGCTCCTCCCTCGAGGAGACCTACGAACTTCCCGATGGTCAGGTGATCACAGTGGGAAACGAGCGATTCCGCTGTCCCGAGGCCCTCTTCCAACCCAGTCTCTTAGGTCGGGAGAATGTGGGAATTCACGTGACCACCTTCAAATCCATCATGAAGTGCGATATCGATATCAGGAAGGACCTGTACTCCAACATCGTCCTGTCAGGCGGCTCAACCATGTACCCGGGAATTGCTGAGAGGATGAACAAGGAGCTCACCTCGCTTGCCCCATCATCAACGAAGATTAATATCATTGCTCCACCGGAGCGCAAGTACTTAGCTTGGATCGGTGGTTCGATGCTGGTCGGTCTGCCCGCCTTCCAGCAGATGTGGATCACGAAGCAGGAGTATGACGAATCCGGTCCACAAATCGTTCACCGCAAATGCTTCTAATTTGTTTTCAATGAAGTACTCCCATTCTTCATTTACTAGCTTGTTTCTCTCCGGTTAACTACATTAGCCGGAAGACAGCAGATTCGCCAACGGGCTTTATGTATTAAGGTTTAGTCTCACAGTATTTTATGACCCCAATAAATCGCACTCTCTGCAATGAATCTGTATTCTGCCTTCCAGTTAACCATCGTCTCGGTTTCACATCAGGACGCATCAGGGAAGGGCAGTTGCTGCGTTGAGCAGGTTGTGGGGATTCTGCAGCATGTTCTTCCTGGAAACAATTAAAAACTCAATCAATGTTATGGCGTGCCCTGCCAGACATTATGAAGGTATCAGCAGCGAGGTTAAAAATGCTTACCAAGGAGAATTATTATGCAAAAACGGTGTATAAATGAGATGTAGATCGGAAGAGAAATCATACACTCATCCCCGCAATAACGCTGCACCTGAACTCATTGAAATACACATGGACATGCCAAAAAATGAATGGCACACAGACCTCCTGCACACTGAAGGCTTAAATTGTACGCATGAAGGACGGGAGGAGAGGGAAGTGGTCTACAATATCCCATGCAATGTTTGCGATGAGCTATACTGTATTCAATGGTACCTATGCACACGTGCACGAACATAGTTTAATATGCGAGATGCGAGACCACTATTTCCAGGTGGCCATAGATGACATTGTTCAGTGGTAAATTTTTGTTTGGAACAGAACTCACAATACAGGCACTGATTATTTGGCACAAACATAGGTAAAAGATGGTAAACTCGCAGTTCGTATTCAGACGTTATGAGTCGAGATTATTGTAGGCGTGTTTATATTGTGTTCCGCAGTTCGCTGGTTTCGGTCAAGGTATGGGGGTTTAGTGAACGGAATGCGATGGGGATTCCCGGATGAGTGTTAGGGTTAGGTTTTAGGACAGCGATTAGTGTTATGGTTTAGGGCTAGAGTCAGGCTTAGGTGTAGGGTTGGGTTTAGGTTTAGTGTGAGGGTTAGGATTTAGGCTTAGTTTTAGGGTAAGGGCTTTATGGCTAACGTTAGGGCTAGGGTTAGTGTTACGGTTAGGGGTAGGTTCTGGGGTTAGGGTCCAGGGCAGTGTTAAATTTATTGTTACGGTTCGGTTTTAGGGTAATTTTTATGATTAAGTTTAAGGAATAGTGTTAGGTTTTAATGTTGCGGTTAGTTTAGGTTTAGAATTAGGGTTGGGTTGTATTTATTCGACCACAGATAGACGACGGAAGGGCGTTTGGATTGCCGAGCATGTCCGCTTCGCGCGCTTCCGTATTTTCCAGTATCCAGGCGACAGATCTTTACTTGGGATGAACCGCCTCTTCTCCTGATTTCTACGCTTTTACTTGTCTGCGTATAGGGTTCAACATTACAGTCTTATCATAGTATACGGCTGTACTGCAGCTTGCAATTTTGCCTATGCTTTTTGCTGTACGTAAGCATCTAATGTCGGTAGTTTTCTGCAAACTTTCATTTTGCATGCAAATGCGACCCATAAATATGTCTAGCTGTCAAGCGTCCCAGGCGGGTTTTGGCCGTAATGAGGAGTAATTCGGAGCCCTAAGATAGATCTCATATGAGGTTCTACCCAAAACACCTTACCCTATCATATACTGCTAGCTACCTGTTGGCAGTTAATGAACATTAGGCGGTTAACCGCTGTGGCTGATGGACTCCGGCCCAAATATTCGTGCATAAAAATATCGGTCTAGGCATATACACCTTGACCAAGCTGTTAGTTGTATATTTGGGGTAATAAGCAATGCCCTTGATGACCCTATTGAAACGTTGCATACAATATTAATGCCAAATGCGCATCTTACTGCAAATTTGCCAGTAACATATTATTGAAAAGTCAATTTGGCAAAGAGGTGCTTTCGGTAACTCGTCATTAGGCCAAAACAGTAACACTGGAGTTGAAAATATGCGAAGTTGATAGGGTTTATCAGTGACTCAGGGGCTATTAACACTCATCATTCCCACGCCATCCGCATGACAATGTCGGCGTGTTATGATCATTGGGTCAAGGGGGCGATGGGAAGGAGTTACGTAGGCTGTGAGTGATGCTTGTAAGTCGGGTACGTTGAGCACGCATCATTGCCATCAGGAGGTTGGGGCGACGTTTAATCATCATGGGGGGTCGGCGTTGGCTACGGAAGACAGAGCGCCTGCGTCAACGTCTTCTGACAACATGGCATTGGATTGGCTAGTCGTATAGCCACTGCCTCGGCTGTAGCTACCACCCGTTGTCGTAGACCACTGGAGAAGCTTGCTGGTGTCCGGTGGACAACTTGAAAGGCTTCTTTGGCATCGACTCGGTGATTCGTATTGACAAGATGTGCGAGAATAGACCTCGAAATCGATTTCTTTTGGCCTCTACCTAGACAGGTCGGTGTATTCACATACTCTTTTTTTCAGGCGCCTCGTTGTAGGGACCGTGTATCCCGCTCCACAGGAGCAAGTGAATGAGTAAATACATATCGATGTGGCCTGCGACGGGAGTCGGTCTTTAGCTCCCAAGCCCAGGAGGGGATAGTTCGTGAAACATAGAAGTAAATTCGCCGTGCGGAAAGCGCTAGTGATCGCTGTCTACAGACTTCAACTTACTAGGTCACTTGCAGTGTCCCCTTCAAAAGGTAGTCTTATAAATGAGTCTTTCTTTTCTGAAGAAGGAGACACGATCGCTGGGACAAGAGCTTTATTCGCCTGATGCTTCGGATTCCTGCTCGGACACATCATCAGAGACAATAGCAAATGCGGGTAGTTCATGCACAAGGGGCCGCAGTATTTATAGGATGCAGTCGCCATGCTACCGCATTCCTATAAATATTCCCGGCTCCCCCCCCCCCTTCGTCAGGGTTAGGGATATAAAACTCGTTATTTCTTGAGAACATTACCACTTACGTCTACTCAACCTAGGCGAAGTCTCACCATCGAGTTTGGAAGGGAAAGGTCATTGCATTTGTTAATGGACTGGGGGCCAGTAAACCATGACTCAAGCATCCCCCGGTTCACGCGGTCGCCACTTCCAGCGAGAATTTTAGCCTCGTTGAATTTGAATGTGTGGCCGGATCTCGTCTAAGGAACCGCAACTTGAGAGTTGGCGTCATTTCTCCGCACCGCTGCAGTCTGTTCGACCATGCTCGTTCGGAGCTGTCTTCCGGTTTCTCCGATGTAGTTGCTTTGTCCGCAACTGCACGAGATCCGATAACCGATTCCAGACGTTTCTTTCCGTGGTAGTGGGTCTTTCGATTTTATTACCTGACGCTTGATGATTGCCTCCAGTCTGTGTGCAACTCCAACGCCAAGTGGCGTGAGCAGGCGGCCAATAGCGCCCGAAACATTCTTGACATACGGGAGCGCTCGCCAAAATTTGGTGTCCTTGTGGTTTGGCTTTTCGTCCCTTTTGCGTATGCACCGGTTGACAAGGTTGCGCGGATAGCCATTGGCTTTGAAGACCCGTCGGAGATATTGTAGTTCGGCAATTATGTCTTCCGGCTCAATGCAGTGCATTTAGACACGCCGATAAAGCGTCCTTACACAGCTGCGTTTGTGGCTGATTGGGTGGTTGCTGTTGAAGTTCAGTACTTGCATCGTATTTCTCGCTCTCCTGAACACTTTGGTCTTTAGGCCACCACAATCCTTGCGGCATACGAGGACATCCAGGAAGGCCAGCTGGTTGTTCTCTTCCTCCTCCATCGTAAATTGAATGTCCGGGAAGACGGCATTGAGATGTTCTTGGAATGCCAACACCTGATCCCGATAGATGACAACGAAGGTGTCATCCACATACCGGGCCCAGAATTTCGGTCTGTGGTGTTGAAAGACCAGCGACTCTAACCGTTGCAGTACCGCCTAGGCGATGTTTCTCGAAATCGGCGAACTCATTGGCGTGCCCTTCACCTGTTCGTAGACTGTCCCGTCGAACGTGAAGTAAGTCCTGAGACAGAAGTTCAGATACTGAAGGACTTGGGCGTGTCCAAGACGATTCTCCGTTTCATCGTATTTGTTTTGTAGAAGCAGATCGATGGTTTCGATCGCCAGATCCTGGGGAATAGAAATAAAAACGGACATAATATTGAAAGATACCATGACCTCATTTAGATGGGGGCTTACCCCTTTGAGTTTCTCCAGGAATTGTGCTGAGGAAGAGACCGTGATGTCTGACTCAGCGGTCAAGAACTTGAGAGGCCGGTACAGCCAATTAGCCAGTCCGTACATTGGAGTCCCTTTGAGCGACACGATGGGTCGGATAGAAGCGTTGTCTTTGTGCACCTTAGGGTGGTCATAGAATCGGGCCAAAGCCGTATCTTGGGGTCTCGCCATGTGTCTGTCGGTCGGTGTTATTGCACCTCAGTTCTCCAAGGCCAATATTGTAGCACTAATTTCGCGTGTCAGCGCTTTTACAGGGTTCATTGCACATGGGACATAGAACTGTCGGTCCTCCAGTAAACCTTTGGCTTTTTTAAGGTAGTTTGTTCTGTCCAGTACAACCGTGGAGCGCCCCTAGTCCGCTGGCACGATGACCAGGCCTTTGTCGGTCTTGAGTTCTCTAAGCACACCACGTTCGGCCTTGGGAAACACTTCCCGCGGCCTGTGGGCCATAAGGAGAGACGACACTTGATGTCGGATAAGGCTCTTAGTTTCCCCCGTTGCCTTCGCCTGACTAAGGATTGATTCCACTACTGCAATCATGTTAACAGGTTTGGCGTCAGCCGTGTTAAATGAAGTTTCGTGCCGTAAACCTCATAGTAACGATCCAGTTGCTAAGAGGACATAATCTGGATGTCGACTGGGAAACCTTTCTTGAAATGGCACCGAAGTCTAATCTCAGACGACATGATTACCAGCTTAAAAGGGAACTGTGTCACACAAATCAACGATCCTCCTTTTTCTCAGAGAGGGTCATTCGCCAATGGAACTCTTTGCTGGAGTATGTTATGAATTCCCCTACCGTGAGTGTGTTCAAGACACAATTGGACACTCACATGCTGAAAGGCTACCCGAAATGCCGTAGCATGATCTAACGGATTACTGAAATGACTACAAATATACTACTATCATTATTTCAACAGATCATTTTCTGTGCGTCAAACTGGACCCATATAGAAATTTTTACATTCCGAATGCGGTGAACAAAGTTTTTCGCAATTATTTCGCGAATACCGTACCCCTTTCGCATTTATGTTCCATTATTAGATCTATGAATTCTCCTTACTAAAAGTGCAAGCAAGATTTTTTCAATGTAACTATTTTCCCTTACATCTGTGCTGTCTAAATCGAGTTTTCTGGGCCTCTGTCGTTCATGTTTTTTTGCTACTAACTGTTTGTTAGTAACCAGACCTTACTCATACCAACCTGCCTTTGTTTCTCTAACCCGACTTGTCGGTTCCCGTCGTTCTTTGTCCATTTTCTATTGTTCTTTGTCGCCGCTCGCCTTTAAACCGACCACCACAATTTTGCGTCATTCGTTGACCGCTCGTCTAATGACCTCGAATGTACGTCCACTTTTGAATTTATTCCCCGCCTTATTAACTCTATCGTGCTCTGTCTATTGCCATAGAACCACAAAGAATATCCGAGTTATCCCGACTGCCTTCTGACATAGCTTTGACCTCGGGTGCGTCTATTCCGGTAAATAAACCAACGCTGAATCGAAAAAAAATCTAAAGAGTATTAGCACTGACGTCGCCGACTTTCTCTTTACGGGTGAGTGGCGAGGAAGTTTCGTCAACTTCTCCATCTCTATTTTTAGGTCTCTTATCGCTTTCTCCATCTCCAAGACTTTCTGGAGAAGTCTGAAACATGCCGCATGGGTTTTATCTTCGTTGTTGTAGTTGACATCCATTAAGGTTACTAAACTCTTAGCCCGTCTGATAGAAGGAGAGTTGATAGCGGGAAACCCGACGCTGAATTCATTTATACAATGTGCATTGTTTGTTACATTATTATTGTTAATCCGTCAGATGCGCGTCAGTGGTCCATTGGTAACGACCTCAGCCTCATCACCTCCCCAACTGGGTTCGATTCCCGCTCGGGGCACACTTCTTGAGCAGCATCCCGAAGGCAGTGGAGAAGTGTTTAAGGGTGTAGGAGGACCAACGATACAAAGCAAGTAGCAAGCGACACAGCTGTTCTTGAAACGGGGAGTCCCACGGTGCTGTTGACAGAGAAGTGGTTCGAAAGAGAATGGTTGTCCCAGAGAAAGTCCTGTCAAAGTTTCGTGTGGATCGAGCAATCGCTGGTTACGATCAAATTTCATAATCTAAATGGGCCCTCAGAGAGTCCACTAGGTAGAAATCCCGAGAGGGCAAATCCCTCGGAGGACAAAATTCCAAACCGAATTTCAAAACCGAAATCCTTAGGATTTATTTGGTACATTTCTCTTGCCCAAAATATAACCAAATGCAACATTACGAGTTCCGCTCTTTCCGAGGTAACTAATGTTATATGGCTGGGTTTAAGTGTTTAGAAGAAAAAGAATTAAGGCAATTGATTACAAAGTACTTACTGCTCTACAGAGAGCAGATAACGTAAGAGTATTCCCGTTCGCTTACCGCTGGCAGCACATATAAAAGGCTGATTTGCAAAAACACCTTTTCATCTGAGCAATAATTAACCTGAATTGCAAAGTGTATAAGATGGCGTTGACCACGAGGAGATTGGTTAATTTTCAGGTAGGAGATTTTAGTTGCAAAATGAAACGAGAGACAGGGTGACCAAAGATGTCAGCTGTCCGGCCATGCAAGCTGGCGCACTCTCTGCTCAAAAACTCAGAGCAAATGGGGCAATCACAGCAAAAGATTGGTTTCTCATGAAACCCTCTAACTCTTCCACCGCGCGGTTTTATGGTCTGCCGAAGGTACATAAAGCGAACATACCTCTCAGGCCCATCGTCTCCCTACGTGGTACTCCTACATACGGTTTAGCAAAATGGAGGTTTGCTCGTGTTAAGTTCCTGGTAGAAGGATTGCCAACAACAGTGGCCTCTGCTAATCAGTTCCTTGACCGTTTAAAACACCTGAAATTAGAGCCAGATGAATCCATGGTATATTTTGAGGTCGTTTCACTCTTCACCTCCATTCCACGGCAACTAGCGATTGACGTTGGGGGACAACTCCTGGCTGATCGCTACAACGAGAGAGACAATCCCCTGAAGACTGAACATCTCGTGGAGCTCTTACGCTATTGCCTAAAAACGTATTTCACCTTTTGTGGACTTATGTATGAACAAATCAAAGGCACCCCTATGGGCTCCCCCATATCAGGGCTGATTGCTGAAGTGGTTCTTCAACGGATAGAACACATGGTGTTCACCAAGTATCAACCAAAGTTCTGTGATCGTTACGTCGATGACACCTTCGCCAATGTCAAATCATTTGACGTGGAGCACCTCAAAGGATAACTGAACTCAGTTGACCCGAATATCCAATTCACGATGGAAACCGAAACAAACAACCAACTTCCCTTCCTCAATGTCCTTGTGCGTCGGTGTGCAACTGGGCAACTAGAAACTTCCGTTTTCAGAAAAGCCACCAACACAAGAAAAATATTACACTTCAACAGCAATCACCCTCTCTCTCTCACAAACGCAGCTGTGTCCGTACTCTATTTCAAAGAGTTGAAACACACTGCAGCACACCAGCCGACAAAAGAGTTGAACGACAATACCTCCATGACCTCTTTCGAACCAATGGATACCTAAGCTATTCCATCAGGCAAAGCAAGCGCCGAGTGAACAGACGACGGCCACAAGAAGAACAACCCGAAGTCTGGAGGGCTATTCCTTACATTAAAGGAGTCTCCGAGGCGGTTTCACGACTGTTACAACCCGCCAGGGTAGGCATTGCCCATCGACCCCAGCCAACAATTCGTCGCCGTTTGATGCCACCCAAAGACATACTGCCACCCACTGAAACCTCAGCAGTTGTCTATGAAATACGTTGTAACAATGGAGACTGCAACTACGTTGGGGAAACCGGACGGAAATTGCAGACCCGCCTACATGAGCACAAACTGACAACCCGGAGACTAGACCTAAACCCACAGCTTGCGGCTCACATCGGGGAAACTGGTCACAGTTTTGATTTTCAAGGAGCAGCCGTCTTAGGCAGGGGCACCTCAAAGACAGAGCGTCTCACACTTGAGGCTTGGTACTCTGACGCCAACTCCATCAACAGGCATCTAGACCTTCCTTCGGCCTATAAAGTCTTACTTCATTACATACGCCGTGACGAAGACAAGACAGTCATACGGAGCCTAAGACTACCGAGCAAACACGGCCTGTCGACCAACTCACCCAAAAGGGGAACGCAAACGCAACTAACCCCAATGGAGGTGACGACACACAATGCAGGAAGCCACCAACACTCACAGGCGGCGGCCGGTAGGTCAAGGCAGCGAAAGAAGAGAAAAAAATCGATCAGCCCAAGGCCAACTGATCTGGCTGTCCATTCAAAATCCCGATCGATTTTTTAACTAGACGCTTTGATAATGGAGAGCCGCCCCAGCTCTTCGAAACTTCAGCCATGCAAGTCCCACGATCCGATGAGCAGTTCATTTTCCTCAGATTAATCCTTTTCCTTAAGATTTCCAAGTCACAAGGTTCCCTATGCTGCTTAACACTCAGGTTCAAAATTACAAGTAAATTTTCCTACATGACACTGAATGCTACTTCACACGAATTCCTAAACTCACTCAATCACTTCCAATGGAACAATTGGATGGTCATACGAATGGTAAGATACATTCATTTTGTCATCTAGTCGGGTATCGGTGTCTGAACGTCGGCTGATGCCCAAGGCCTTTGACATTTCTTCTTTACTCCTCAGTGCGTTATTACTGCTAGTGCTCTTCCGGAGAAAGTAGTTGCTGTCATTACAGCGTCAGCTATGACGACTCTATCTGTCACATCCCCTTGCGCTGCATAAACGTTCGTGGATGGGGTAGGGGTTTAAACAATAACGAATACCCCTGACATATTCATGCAAGCAGAATGTCCTGCAGCTTCGAAAATGACTTCCATTTGGACTGATCCCGCTCCGTGAAAAATGACTGATTGCCCAGCCGCCATTAAGAATATAACGAGACAGATCACATCTTAACTGCTGGAGACTTGACTAGGGGTAACAGAAAGTTATCGCGTATCCACGTGTATGCACGTAGTGCAGGGATGTGTGTGTGTGTGAGTGTGTGTGTGTGTGTGTGGGGTGTAGGGGTGTCAGCGGTGGGTCCACGTGATGGTCGTAGTGGTCGCTCACTTGCTTGCAGGTGAGACTACGCCTAGCGACCATTTGCTGGCACCTAACTCTCACCTGTGGCTCCAC